TAGATGATCATACTGACTGGCTACTTATATACTGTAAGTCAGCGGCATCACAAGGATGGATTTACACCCTTATTACTCTCTGTGTGGGATTTGATGAGTGCATCCCTTTGGAACTGATTTTTTTTAAATTTTAAAAAAAAATTTTTTTTTTTATTTTTTGACAGGCAGAGTGGACAGTGAGAGAGAGAGACAGAGAGAAAGGTCTTCCTTTGCCGTTGGTTCACCCTCCAATGGCCGCCGCGGCCGGCGCGCTGCGGCCGGCGCACCGCGCTGATCCAATGGCAGGAGCCAGGAGCCAGGTGCTTTTCCTGGTCTCCCATGGGGTGCAGGGCCCAAGCACCTGGGGCATCCTCCACTGCACTCCCTGGCCACAGCAGAGAGCTGGCTTGGAAGAGGAGCAACCGTTACAGAATCCGGCGTCCCGACCGGGACTAGAACCTGGTGTGCTGGCGCCGCTAGGCGGAGGATTAGCCTAGTGAGCCGCGGCACCGGCTTGGAACTGATTTTAAAGACAGGAACTTACAGCTATTCATGCCAGGCATATGTTTTAAGCTGAGGACAGCTTTATTATTATTATGTAGCCAACACTGTCATTTCTATCAATTTAACTCATTTGCATATTACCTCCTTTCTTAACTCACTTTTCAATTATTATAAGGAAGGAGAGATCCCTCATGTCAAAGCGTGTTCAGTTCCTAATGGCAGAATCTGTGGGTTTTGGCTGACTCCACCTGGGGCTAGTGTTGGTGTCTCCTCGTTCCAGGCCACGTAGAGTCACTGCCCCAGTGGTGATATGATCACCATGCTGCTTATGTTTGAGGCTTGGGAGCAGTGCACAGAAAATAATTGTGGGAGAAAGGGGGAAGAAATTTAGACAATGAGAAAAGAGAATTTGAGGGCTGCATATGCATTAGGGGTCTCCCAGTCCAAATGCCTTACTTTACTTTTTATGATTATTTACTTATTTTTTAAGTTTTATTTAATGAATGCATTTTTATAGATTTTAGGAATATAGTGGTTCTTTGCCCCATACCCGCCTTCCCACCCCAACTCTCATCCTACCTCCCTCTCCCTCTCCCATCTCCTTCTTCATAATGGTTCATTTGTAGTTTGATTTTATATACAGAGGACCAACTCCATGTTAAGCATAGATTTCAACAGTTAACACTCATGCACACACACAAAATATAGAGTAGAGTTTGGGAACAAAATTTGCAGTCGATTCTCATAGTACAATACATTAGAGGCGGATGTCCTACATGTGGAGTAAGTGCACAGAGACTTCCTTTGTTCCTTTAACAATTAACACTCTTATTTATGACGTCAATGATCACACAAGGCTCTTGCCATGGGCTTCCAAGGCTATGGAAGCCTTTTGTGACCATAGACTCCATCGGTATTTGGACACGCAAATGCCTTACTCTAATCACAATCAGTACAACAGAGAAATTTGGGATCAGGAAATGATGGACTCTGGTCACTGGCATTTGGGACATGTCAATCAGAGGAGGATATGGGGAGGTCCAATGCAGAGACTGGTAACTGTGGATGGGCTTCTTAAGTTCATAAACTCCCTGAGCCTGAGCCAGCTGTGCTGTGTTATTAGAGTGCGGGTATCAGTCAGGTGTTTCATCGCATTTTTCAAGAATCAGTGCACTGTGAAAGATGCTGATAATCTGAGTCTGGGTAAGAGTCACGTGAAGAAAGGCACTGAGAGGATGGCAGGGCATTGGTCAACAATCCAGGGAGAGGATGGGGAGGGAGCAAGACATGACTGGGTGTAGCAGAATTTGCAATAAATAACTTCCCAGGGAGGAGCTAGTGTTTTTGTGTTGGTAACAAATGGGGGGGGAGGTAATCACCAGCTCGCAGTACACATTCAAAGGGATGGGCCCAAGAGTCCAGCACTTCTTCTATTTTAAAGGATTATTTAATTTATTTGTAAAGGCAGAGTTACAGAGAGGCAGAGAGAGAGAGAGAGAGAGAGAGAGAGAGAGAGAGAGAGGTCTTTTATCCACTGGTTCACTCCTCAAATGGCTGCAACAACTAGAGCTGCGCCAAACTGAAACCAGAAGCCAGGAGTTTTTCTAGGTCTCCCACATGGGTGCAGGGTACCAAGGACTTGGGGGCCATCTTCTACTGCTTTCCCAGGCATATCAGAGAGCTGGATTGGTGGTGGAGCAACTGAGACTCAAACTGGTGCCCATATGAGACGCTGGCACTGCATACCAGGACTTTAACCCACTGTGCCACAGTTCCAGCACTTCTGTGTAAAATCCTGACTCAGTCACTAATCAGCTATATAGTCTTGGATGAGTGGTTTCAGTTTTCTTAGGGTGAGTTTCCTCTTCTGAAATCTATTGATAGAAAGATCTCATAGGATTTTGTTAGGATTAAACAAAATTACAAAAATAAACACAATGCCACTCCTTTAGTGGCAGGTACTCCAACGTACTAGGAATTCAACAGACACTTAGTTGTTGATCATGTTTATTTATTTTCCCCAGGGGGTCCATACTCATATTTTCTGCTGTGAGCATTAAACTTGCTTGGATCATCTTCATTAACTCAGTATTTGATTAATAATACTGAAAATCAGTTCAAAATCTATTTGAAGTACATTTGTATAAATATAAAATTTGTATTTCACGAACCTGATGTTGTTCATGGACACAAGACAGGCACTGTCATATACAGTAAAGACACATTATGAATAAACCAGATAAAGTTCCTGCCCTCTTGGCTGATACAAAGAGAAAAATGAGACAAATGTTATAGCATATTAGTTAAGTGCTAGGGGAAAGTAGAGCAGGAAAATGGAGATGGGACTCATGGAGGCAGAGTCACTTCAACTGTGATTTTAGATGTAGGGAGGGGTCACTGCAGGCCTCAAGGAACAAGTGCATGGAGGAAGTGGGGGAAAGTTAGGGTGTACATTTACCAGCCAAGCTTCAGGTTAGGCAACAGCCAGTGCTAAGGCCTTGAGGTGGAGCTGTTCAAGGAACAATGCAGAAGCCAAAGTAGAGTCCGCTGGAGGAGAGGAATGGGAGACTGGCTCACATGTAGGGCCTGGCAGCCACATAAAGGGTGTGTCAGCCCGGCGGATTAGGGGCGTTCTGGAGGGGAATGCGAGGAAATCACATGTAATTCGTATCTCAAAGGGGGAGGATTTTGGCTACCATGTTGAGAGTAGACTGTAGAGAGTTAGGAATACAAGTCAGGCTGTTGCTGTCATCCTGGTGGAATGATGGTGGTGATGTGGACCAAGGTGGTAATAGTGGATGTGCTGAGAAGTGAACAGATCCTGAGGTGTTTAGAAGATAAAACTCACAACATTTGCTGGCATATTGAATAGGAATATGAAGAAAAGAAATCAAAGATGATGCCAAAGCTCTGGACCTAAACAAATAGGAAGATAGTGCTGCTGCCAGGTGAGTGCTGATTGATGAGGCTTGTTGTGGTAGGCAGAGGCAGGGAAGATCAGGAGTTTAGTTGAGATGTGTCAGGCCTGAGATGTGGGCTGAGTTCCTAAAAGAGGGCCAGGCTAAAGACAGTTTTGAGAGCTTTGAGTTTAAGGACAGTATCACAAAAGAGACCTCAGGCATGCAAATTCTAACACTACATTTGTGGTTTGGATTTGAAAAAAGACTGGAGAGATATCAATTTAAAAAGAGATATTGTGGGTGATCTGAGTGTATCAGGATGGTGCCATGCAATTTCAGTACCCTGAGGTGGAGGGAATTGTGTGATGGTAACAGGTGGACAAGTAAGATGACAGATGACATCTTTTAAAAATCATTACTGAAGCCTTTGCATTGTTCCTCCATAGAAGAATTTTCACTTTGTTGTATGTTTGTGAAACGTCACAATACAGTTTACCACCTGGCTAGGGTGCTTGGCTCTCTAGGCCTGAGAGAACAGCTGGAAGAATCTGGTCCCTCCAGGCATCTAAGACAGCTCTCTGCATTATTAGTTAGCATGACTCTACACCATACTCCAGTAATAAATAAACCACAAAACCTCTGTGAATTAACAAAGAGGACTTTATATCCATCTCACACCGACTCTGATGTGTGTGGGGTGCCCTCCTGTCTGCAACTTCATCGGCCTTCAAGGAGGCAGTGATGGAAAGGATGAGGAGGTCAAGATGCCCTTTGCTGCCTTGGTCCCACTGCAGAGCATGCAAAAGTCCTGTTTAGAAGGCCAAGGTAACTGTCTGGGTTGCAGATAGTTGTGGGATGAACTAGCATCATGGTGTGGAGATCTGAGAACATAAACTGGGTGGCATCTTTGTAACACAGGTAATGAACTCCAGAGCACATCCCATGCAGAGTGGTTTTGGGAAGCCTGAGGACTCCTGCCTACCATCTCATCCACTATCGTGAACTCAATGTTCACTCCTCTGCCTACTTTGACTATTGCTTTTATTAGTTGAGTTTGATTTTATTTATAAATGACACATGTATACAAATTTATAAAATACAATGTAATTTTAAATAAAGGTGTACTCCATGTTATAATGCAGTATACTTAGTGCAACAGTCACATCAAAAGCTTATGATTTCCTTGAGGTAAAAACGTCAAAATCTTCTCTTTTAACTTTAAATATCCTAAGAAAAGGAGTCAAATGTGAGAGCCATGATGCAAACTGCCAATGCTTGGACTAACCACAAGAGGGCGCATCTTTCTTCAGATGGGGGTTATTTTCCACATGGTTTAAGTGGTTTGACAGGTGCATATTTTGTTCACTCTTCATTGTTGCAACTGCCGCAGGGCAGGAAGGCTGTCTTTCCAAGGAGCAAGGATTTTCCAGGAGATCCTCTCAGAATTCAGGTTCTAAAACCGGAGAGTCACCCTGACATCCGGGGTGCATCCAAGGACTTTGTCTTACTCCTAGCTCACCAGCCATGCTCTCGGTGTCTTGTTCAGTGACTGTGGTGGTCCTGCTGATAACTGTCAGTAAGTGATGTTTGGTTTTTTAAATTATTTTCTGTTCCTAGATCTTGGTGAAGATCTCTAGCCCCACTTTCTCCCTGGACTGTCCTGTTGACATATTCCTAAATTACAACACCTTAATCATTTTAGGAAGGACGAATGGAGACTCAGTGACCCAGACCGAGGGACCAGTTATCCTCTCTGAGGGCTCATCTCTGACCCTGAACTGCAACTACCAAACCAGCTATTTGGATGTCCTTTTCTGGTACGTCCAGCATATCCATCAAGGTCCTCAGCTCCTGTTGAAGAGCGGAACAGAAAACCAGAGAATGAAGCATGAAGGTTTTCACGCCACTCTTGTCAAGAAGGACAGCTCCTTCCACCTGCACAAATCCTCACTGCAGTTATCAGACTCAGCTGTGTACTACTGTGCTCTGAGAGACACAGTGAGAGGAACCACAGAGGGAGCCGAGCACAAACCCAGAGGCGTGCAGCTGAGGGCTGGGGGTGGGCAGCCCTGGGAGGGTCGAGCTAGGTTTCCCTCCAAAGTCACGAGGTGTCTGCGGACACTCGCAGGGAAGGAACAGATTCCAGCTTTGATGTTCTAGGGCTCTGGAGCCCTGGAAAAGTGCGACTAGGAGCGGGAAGAGGAAATCTAATGAACAGGTGAGTTCCAGTTATCTGAGATGATTCTGCTTTCAGTAAAGGTGCCTCTAGTGTTCCAGCAGGTTGAAGATGTTCCCTGGTGTCTGCTGAAGTTTGCAATGGCTCCTCTGCCAAGAGAAATGTGGATCTGGTCTCTCCTGAGATCTCCTCATCTCTCAGTCTGGGAGATCTGCAAGGATCTCATCATTTTTGCTAAACATAAGATAAGTTAAATTGAATACTAGGGATGCAATCCGATTGAGATCAGCACTGGTGCAAGTCACCCTACTCACAGCCTGAGCTATAGAAACTCTTTCCCCATATCCCAGGACCTTCATTTCCTCTCCAGTTCTCCCTTTGCAGGAATCTTTCCATCTTCTCCCTGTCACGATATACAAGTGCCCAGTCGAGAAATACTGTGAGGGGAAGCTTCCCTTGTCTCTCTGTGTGAGACCCAAGTCAGCTGTGGGTGGGGGTGTGACCCTGGGTTTTGTGTTGCGATTGTTCTTGTTTTTTTTGTGCATGAAAGGTACTTTAGTTTCAAGCTTGCTCTTCCTTTTTTTAGGAGCATATTCTTTTTTTAAATTATTTATTTATTTATTTGAAAGTCAGAGCTTCAGAGAGGCACAGGCAGAGATAGTGAGAGTGAGAGTGAGAGTGAGAGTGAGAGAGAGTGGTCTTCCATTCACTGGTTCACTCCCAAATGGCCACAATGGCCGGAGCTGTGCTGAAGCCAGGAGCCAGGAGCTTCCTCTGGGTCTCCCATATAGATTCAGGTGTCCAAGTTCTTGGGCCATCTTCTACTGCTTTCTCGGGCCACAGCCAAGAGCTATATTGGAAGTGGAGCAGCCAGAACTTGAACGAGCACCCATATATCATGCCAGCACTGCGAACCGTGGCTTTAATGCATGCACCACAGCGCTAGCTCCAGGAACATATTGTTTTAATTATATTGTGCCTTGCTCTGTTCTTTCAACTGCAGGGGGAATCTCTCGCAGAAAAGAAGTGTGTAGGCATCAAAGATATGGGGTCTCAGAGGGCACCCTCATTACATGAAAATAATCTCCTATTTTAGTCCAAGTAGCCCATTCAGAAGTTGTACTTAAGCAAACACCCATCTGCTTGTGAACCTGGAAGTTGAATACAAATGTACCATTAAGTAGGGTGGGGCTGTGGTGTGGCGGGTAAAGCCGTTGCCTTTAGTGCTGACATCCCATTGTTGGGAGTTACAGTACTGAGCGCTCCACTTCCGATCCAGCTCTCTGCTATGGCCTGGGAAAGTAGTAGAGGATGGCTAAAGTGCTTGAGCCCCTGCATCAGTGTGGGAGACCTGGAAGGAGCTCCTAGCTCCCACTTTGGGTCGGCGCAGCTCTGTCCATTGCGGACAGCTGGGGAGTGATCCCCCAGATGGAAGACCTCTCTCTCTCTGCCCGTCTCTCTCTCTGTGTAACTCCGACTTTCATATATAAATAAATCTTTAAAAGAAGAAAAAGAGCAATGCCTATTCATGTCCTTTGTACATTCCTTAACTGGATTTGTTGTTGTTGTTGTTGAGCTTCTTGAACTCTTTGTAGTTCCTGGATATTAAACCTTTATCAGTTCCACTGTTTGCAAATATTTTATTTTTTGCAAATATTTTATTTTTTATTTTTATCCCATTCTGCTGGTGGCCTCTTCACTTTGTTGAGTATTTCCTGCTAACAGAAGCTTCTCAGCTTGATGTAATCCCATTTGTCTATTTTTGCTTTGATTGCCTGTGGTTCTGGGGTCTTTTCCAAGAAGTCTTTGCTTATGCAAATGTCTTGTAGGGTTCCCTGAAGTTTTCTCTGTAATTTGATGGCATCAGGTAAGATTTAGATTCCTAACGAATTGTAGGTTGATTTTTGAAAAGGAGTATGTAGGGGTCTTTATCATAGTTCTGCATGTGTAGTTCCAATTTTTGCAACTCCATTTGTCGAAGATACTGTCTTCTATCCACGGATTGATGTTAGCTCCTTTGTCAAAGATTAGCTGGTTGTAGATATGCAGATTAATTTCTGGGGTTTCTAATCTGTTTAATTGTTCCGCAAGTCTATTTATGTGCCATAACCAGGCTGTTTTGATTATAAGTATCCTGTAATATGTCTTGATATCTGGTATTGTAATGCATCTATTTTTTGTTGTTATATTGTTGTTTAAGATTGTATTAGCTATTTGTGGTCTGTTTTGTGTCCGTATGAATTTTAGCATCATATTTTTCTAGATATGAGAAGAATGTTGTTTGTAGTTTGATTGGGATTGCGTTGTATCTACAAAATTCTTTCATTAGTATGGACATTTTGATGATATTAATTCTTCCAATTATGAATATGGAATTTTTTCCATTTTTTGTCTTCTTCTATTTCATTCTTAAAGATTTAAAATTTTTATTGTAGAGATCTTTCACATCCTTAGTTAAATGTATTCCAGGTATTTAAATTTTTTGTACCTATTGTTAATGGGACTGCTCTTACAAGTTCTTTCTCAGCCATGCATTGCCTGTGTATACAAAGGCTATTGATTTTTGTGTATTGATTTGATATCCTGAAACTTTATTAAATTCTCTTTTGAGTCCAATATTGTCTTAGTGGAGCCTTTTGGATCTACTATCTACATGATTATGTCATCTGTAAACACACACAGTTTGACTTCTTCTGTTCTAATTCGTATCCCCTTGACTTCTTTTTCTTACCTAATGGCTCTGGCTAAAACTTCCAGAACTATGTGGATAGCAATGGGGAAAGAGAGTATCCTTATTGGGTTTCAGAACTCAGTGGAAATGCTAACACCCTTCTCCCATTCATTGTGAAGCTGTCCTGGGTTGTCATATATTGGCTTGATTGCATTGAGAATGTTCCGTCATATCCAATATGCTCAAGGTTTTTACTATGAAAGAATGTTGTATTTAATCAAATTCTTTTTCTGCATCTACTGTGATAATATACTGTTTTTATTCTTCCATTTGTAATGTGATGTATCACATTTATTGATATGTATTTGTTGAACCAAACTTGCATACCAGGGATAGACTTGCAAGCGGTGTGGTGTGAATGATCTTTCTGATGTGTTGTTGGATTTGATTAGCTAGTTTGTTGTAGTGTTGCTCGCCCATTCGCGGAGGAATGACACCGGACCCTGCGCTGTTCTTTTTGCCCTGCTCTTCCCGGGTTAACTGCCGTTCCCTCACTCGCGGAGGAACGACGCCGTCCAGGGTTAGCTGCCGGCCCCCCGCCTCCGCGGGGGAGCGGCACACCGCCGGCCGGCTCTCTCAGGGGCTGCTCAGATGTTCCTCAGATGTTGCTCGGTGCATGCTGTCTCTCTCCTCCTTTATAGTCCTCTTCCACCAATCCATGCTCTGCTGCCCACACGCCGAGCACGCTGCTCTCCTCCAATCAGGAGCAGGATCAGCTCCTGCAGCTTATCAGTCAAACTGATGAGGCAGCTGCGTAGAAGTTGTTTGCTCTCTCTCAGTGCCATATTGTGGGAGATCAGATGCATAGAATTAGTCTTAGTTCCAGTAATTTAGTCTAGTCTCAGTTGCTCCCCACATTGTAGAGAATGTTTTTCTGCAAAATTTTAAAATATGTGTCCATATTTTTCAGTGTTTTCTATTATGGCTTAGGTTTTGTTACAAAAGTTCAATGATGTTTCATACTATGAGATCTTCACATAGCATTTCCCAATGATTTCTTCTGTGTTTTTGTTTGTTTGTTTGTTTAACTTTTCAGGTTTGGGTTTAGGGATTCATTTTTCATTTAATGAATTTATTTTGTGTGTCTTTATCCTAATAGATAATACCTGGTATTCAACCATTAGATCTTTCTTGCATAATGGTTTTCCTAACATATATATATCTCCATGCATTGGTCTGCTTCTAGGATAATTATCTCCCGCTTCTCAGCAAGAACGTTTTGCTTACCCACCTACTTATCCATGAATTTTGAGTTTTTATAGTACGGCTGGTGGGACCTGCCTGGTCATTCCACCGTGTGAGCACCAGCTATGCTCTGCTTCCTCTAACTCTTTTGGATGGCATTAGTTTGGCCTCCCTCATGCATGCTCCTTGAATACTTGAAAGAAGCCCTGTAACTCTGCAGTTCTCTCTCGTGAGCTTTTCCTCCTGGTAGCTATGTTCTTGGATTCTGTTTGTCATCGTATCCCAGATCCAAACTATCTTCTCAAATCACAAGATGTAAGAAATTCACTACTTCCACCTCCCAATTTATTATTATAGAAATGATGTCATCACAGAAACATTTCACTTCCTTTCTTTCTGCCTTTCTTTCTCTCTGTGTAACTCTGACTTTCAAGTAAATAAATAAATCTAAAAAAAAGAATGAGTGAAAGAATCATAATTTTATTTTTTATTGCTTACTTGAAAGATTGAGCAACAGAGCAAGGGAGGTAGAAAGAGACATCTTCCATCCTCTGGTCATTCTCCAAATAGACACAACAGTTAGAGCTGGAACAGGTCAAAACCAAGAGCCAGGAATTCCATCCAGGCCCCCCCATTTGTGACAGAGATACAAGCCTGCAGACTCCTGGGTTGGTCATCAGCAGGAAGTGACTGGAAGTGGAGACATGACTGTATCCCAAGCACTCTGAAATGGGATGTCTCAAGCAGCAACTTAACTGCTGTCCCACAATGCACATCCTGAATTACAATTAATTAATGAAATTTTGTTAAGTGCATTTATGGTATGTACCTCTGCATATATTTTGAAATATGTACATTTCTTTCTATATTAGGAATGTGATTCTGCATAGTCAGCATCTTGGGATATATAAACTACAGTGTGGATAAGAAATAATATTAATTTCCTATATTTCCTGGAGTTGTATGGACTCAAATCACAGGAGAGGAACTGTTGCTTCTAACACTGATTGGGATTAGGTTCTCTTGAGAGCAGATTTCTCATGGTCACATTCCCACATGTCTGCTCCA